TTGGAGTTTCTGCTTTCTGTGTCTTATCGAAGAAATGTTTTCCAATCCTAAGGTGGTTAAGATATTCTGTTTTATTCTATAAGCTTTTAAATGTATGTCTTCGATCTACTTCTGAATTTTTTTAACCAGATGTGGATGTTACATTTAATATTAAAAAAATAACGAATTAGAGGAAAACGTGTAGGAGAGTCAGTGGGAACAGCATTTAGGCATTGGAGCTCAGGGTGTAGCTTGGTAGTGTCCAGTCAGGTGGCCTTAGGCAGGTCACTCCCCAGGGAACAAAATGGGTCAAAGGGGTGCAGCAATGACTCACTGAGTGTCAGTACAGGTAAGTGTGTGTGTGTGTGTGTGTTTTAAGATTTTATTTATTTATTTGAGAGGGAGCACAAGCGGGAGGAGGGACAGAGGCAGAGGGAGAAGCAGGCTCCCTGCTGAGCAGGGAACCCCACGCAGAACTTGATCCCAGGACCCTGAGATCAGGACCTGAGCCGAAGGCAGACACTTAACCGACTGAGCCACACAGGAACCCCCAGGTAAGTGTGTTTGCAACCTAATTGGAGCAAGCTGAGTGCACGCAGCACTCCAGAGCTGGTGTACAAGAAAACATAGACTTGCCCCACCCAGCGGTGAGGAGGGCCAGGGTTCCTCCTCCAGGGCCCCTGAAGCCTTCTTTGCTGGGCCGCGGGTATCAGGCCCTAGGCTGACAGTCAGCCTTGCAGCCACAAGAGGGCACTGCGTGAGCTGGTTTCTTGGCCAGCTTGGCGCTGCCGGCAGCCTGGATGCGGTGCTGGGTCCCTGCAGCAAGAAATATTGGCTCTCCAGCGGCAGCGGGGGGCTTTCTAAGTCATGTATGGTCACATGGGGGAGGCGGGGGGGAGGCCAGGGCAGTGGCTTCACCCGTGATGTGGAAGGGCCAGCCAGTGTGTTCCCTCCCAGGCGGTGGCCCCAGAATGGTACTAGATCACAGCCCAACGGCCAGGAAGGAGAGGAACAAGGTGGTCACAGGCCACTGGGGCATTAGGCAACTTTGGGCCAAACCCATGGGGGAACTTGGACACCTACATAGGGCCATGAAAGTCCCTGGACCCTCACACACAGGCCCAGGGCCCGCTGAGCTAGTTCAGCGATGAACGTGCTAAAGTGGGAGCTTGGTAGTCAGCCTTGCTCCTCACTACGGGGTCAAAAGTAGGGTGGCTCAGGGCTACATCAAAACTATGTAAAAGACCGCCCCAAACCAGGACAAGAAGTAGCCAAGGCCAGCCTCCTCCTAGGGAAATCGCCTCAGGACCACAGAGGACTAGGCTGGAAGGTTGTTGGACCAGCCTCAGCGCTGGGCTCCCTACCTCCAGACTCATGCAGGCAAACTCCTCTTCTGGGGTGTTGCCAGGAATCTTCCCCAGACCCCTCCCAGATGCTCCCCTGCCTGACTCCTTAAAAGCTCCCATTGTCCCTGGAAATACTTTGAGCTTCTCAGTCTGAGAGTTTAAGTTTGCCCTGACCTGTCTCCTGACAGCACCTTTATCTTTTGACTCTCCCACCTCAGGAGGCCCGAACATACCATTCCTGTAATCTGATGGAGACCAGATACCCTGCTGTGTTTGCATTCCTCCCTCGGCCTGAATTGTTCTCCCCTGTCTAGTCTACCTGATAAGTACCGAGTCATCCTTCAAGACTCTGCTCAAACATTACCTTCCTTACAAAGCCTTCCCTGGTTAGCCCCGACCTGGCAGCAGGTGCAATGCGTGGCCGTGGTAACAGAAGTGTAGGATGGGTGTTAAGGACAAATCCGTTCCCCCCTTTACTCCTTTGCTGAGATGATCCTGATTTTGCCCAAGTATTTGATCCTCAGCAAGGCGACCCTTCCCCTGCTCAAGGATAAACCTGAAAGAAGCCAAGCCCCATATGCTAGTCCTCGCCCTCCGGCATCACGAAGCGATGCTGGTGGACACGGGTCTGGTTCTGGTCTTGTCTGCACTCCCCACTGGACTGGTGGTTGTTGGGGGAGGGGGCGGCGTGCGCTTCCAAAGGGGCTTAGGCAGGGGCGGATCCTGCTGGGCTTGTTCGTCACGCAGTGTTTAATCTGAAATAGGGCCTGTGCCAAGTAGGAGTGGAGAGAAGCTGCCTGCCCCCCTTAGATCTTTTCAGGACTATTTTCATTAGGGCTGGCTGAGTAGGCTTCCCTCCTCCAGGAGTCCAAGAGGCCAGCGTCTGCTCAGAATCAGAGATGATGAAGGATGGGCTCAGGTGCCCTGGCAAGATGGTCTTCCATCCCCAAAGCCTGTCATCTTGTTTGGTTTTGTTCATTCAAAAATACTCATCATGCATTTGCTATATGATAGGCACTGAATGTTCAGGAATGAATAAAACCAGGTTCCTGCTCTCCTGGGCTCCCAGCTTTTTTTGAGGGAGACCCACAAGTAAGTCATTATCCTCTGATGTTGTAAGGGCATGGATTCTTTGTAATAGACTTTTGAGTTGCTCACAAGAGCATCCACTCTGGATAGTTTAAGCAGAAAAGGAATTTATGAAAAGCCACTGGTTAGCTCCCTGAATCCTGCACTGAATGAAAACTATGTCTTCAATCATGCCGTACGACAAACCCTGAACTCAGTGTACTGGATCAGGTCCTCCTCCCTTACCAGCCGGCATTGCTAAGAGAGAGAGCAGGTCTAGAGTCCGAGGATGAGGCGCCTTGGATTTGAGGATAGAGGGGGAGTTTATGAGTATAAACGAGTATCTCTGGTAGAGAGTTTGGAAACCACAGTTTTCATTATAGACCTATGGCAAGGCCACAAGCAGGGAGCTCCTAGCTTCTCATTTTTCTCTTTTGCTGAAATCAAACTGAGCAGACCCCAAATTATCTTTAAATGCATTAAAGATAAAGAAAAAGAAAAAAAGAAAAAAAATCCTAGAGCAATTGTAAAAGTACCTTAGGACCCTGTCTGTTTTATCAGAGAAGCCCATAAGGTTATTCTAGCAAAAATGATTTGGAGGTGCTGAGGACACGTTGTGTCCTGGCTAAGTCCCTTTGCCAGCCAGCACCCCTCCCCCAGCCTCCATGAGAGCCAACTGGTAACACCCAGCTGGTGAACGCCCTCAGCTAGACAGGAGCCACCTCATGGGGATGCCACACGACCACCCATGCTGCTCTAGCTGTGACCCCAGGGGCAGAGAGCATCCCTCTAATCTCAGGAGACCTGCTTCTGCCCTATGGGGCCAGAGGGAGCTCCATTCTCTCCTTCCGGAATGATGGATGAACTGCATGTTTCCGCTAAAACAGATTCCCCTGCCGGGCACATAGTTGGACACAACAGAGTTTCCTGAACTGTCTCCTTGGCTGCAACTTTTCTTGAGGCTCCTGTGTGGCCACATCAGGCTAGTTTTGGGATGAGCCTCAAGACAATCCTGTGCCCAGAGAACAGTCATTCCAAAGGGATTGCAGGGCAGAGAAATCCTCTAAGTCTTTTCTAAAGGCAGAAGGGGACTCAACGACTCAGCACTGAAAGAAAGTTCAGAGCAGGACTTGAATTAAAAAGAAAATTAAAGAATCAGGACCACCTGAGAGCCTGGCCTGGGACCACACAGGTAGCCCTAAGGATGCTGCTGGGGCCTCTGGAACCCTGCTTCGGCCCCACCCACAGCTGCATTCTCGGGCTTGGGGGAGCTGCACCCGTTGTTCTGTTACTTAAACTACTTGTTGATGATTTAGACCAATGGCCCCTAATTCTTTGATCTTTTTCCCATGGACAGTGGGGGACTGTGTCTCCTTCCCTTGAAGGTGGGCTGGCCTGTGACGTCTTTGACAGATAGGGCATGGTGATCGTGATCTGTGTGACTCTTGAGGTGCATCCCAGAAGGCAATGCAGCACTCACCTGCCACGTAAGGAGCCCCACTACCCTTTGCATACCAGAGAGGCTGCACGTAGGAGCTCTAGGGGACAGTTCCAGCTGAGCCTAGCCTTCCAGCCCAGTGAGTGAAAGAAGCCTCCAGATGATTTCCGGATCCTGCCGTAGAATTCCGCCAAACCTTTGGGTCTTCCCCATTGAGTCCCCAGACTTGCTGGAGAAGAGCTGAGTTATCTGCCCAGGGCCCTGGCTGAATTCCTGACCTGCAGAACCCATGACCATTGTAAAATGATGGTTTTATACCAGCTTTAGGGTGGTTTGAAATGCAGCAAGTAAGGAGGGCTGCATTCCTGCATTTAAAGGTGAGGGAACTGAGCTCAGAGGAAGAGAGGACGTGATTAGGTCAGAGTCACACAGCCAGTCACAGAGCCGGGTCTACCTCTCACCTGCATGAGCGCAAAGGCCCTGCTGTTCCATCTCTTGGATATCCCTGGCTCCTTGGGGTCATACTTTAAGAAGGAGTTGGCAAACTAGAACATGTTCAGAGGATATGGCCCCAAACCAGGCTCCAGGAGGGACAGTTGAAGGGACTAGGGATGTTTAGCTTTGATAGAAGATGTCTTAGTGGAATCTGTGGGTCGTCTTCAGATAGGCAGGGAGGATAGGAAGGTATAGGCATTGTGGCCCTAGATGGGGAGTCGAGAGCAGAGGGCTGTATGGGGCCGGGTTTGACTCAGTTAAAGGAAGATTTCTGCTGATCACTCCTGTTGGAAGAAGCCGGGGCTGTCCAGGGAGGCTGGGATTCCCCATCCCTGGAGGCAGCCGAGGACAGCTGGACCCCCCTGGGTGGATGCCATGGAAGCGAGGAAAGCCACAGGTTGGAATAGGGGCACAAGACTTTTAAAGCTCCCCACCCCCCACCTCTGAGAGATCAGGATTTAGGTGAAAGGTAAGATCCTCATTTACTCGAGTTGTCCCCAGGGCGACAGTGGGCACAGTCTGCTCAATGTGTCCCCATGGGGAAATGCCCACCTGTGTGCTCAGGTTGGATTCATTCCCCCCACCCCCAGAGCTTTTTATAATCACATTTCTTTTATGAACACTGACAAATTAAATTGGTCCTACTCTGGTCACTGCTAAAAATCCAAAGGCACTTAGATTCGAATGTACAATCTTTATTATTCTGAAAAGCACAGCAGAGGCGCCTCGGTGTCTTGGCATCGGGTTGGAATAAGAGATACTCCACACTTGTGTCAGGAAAGGAAAGAACAGCTCCTCTGAGCAAGGACTGGATAAGCCTGGACCCCTTAGAGCACAGTGCCCTTGGATCGGGACATTGATTTGCAACTTTCTCTGTTAGTTAGACAGGGAGAGAATGTTCATTCTGCCTGTACCCTAACGTGTTTAGATGAACGAATGTTAGTGGCATCCCAGTGGGCCCAAATGCATGTGTTTCTCTCTCAGCTGCTCACATGTGTGTGCTCTGAAACATATGGGCTCTCCCAGCCTCACTGGTGGCCTTTCAGGAGGCTCATCAGCTGAGATGCTTATTAAAATTTCTTATTCTCTGGTCTCTTCTCTGCAGACCTGATTTAATAGATGGGGTGGGTATCTGTGTAAGCTGGGCCCAGGCGGCTCTGTGACCAGTTGAGCTCGGGAAAACGCCTGGGTCGGGAGGAAGAAACAACCCCTTCGAGCCGAGGTGTTTGTCAGGCCAGATTATGCTAAGATTGGCCCTGTGCTCACACCTGGAACTGACTTGAAAGTACCAGAAGCTGGGAGATAGAAGACTGAAAAGCAAGTTTGGTCACCCCACCCCCCAAGTCCATGGCCAAGGTTGAGCAGGCAGGGCCCGGTGGCTCCAGCTTCTTGGCCTTTGCTCTATCCTGAGCCTTCAGGAGTCGCTGCCCACCAGGTTCAGCAGGGCGTTCCTGTAGTCACCACTGGTGTCTCCCTGAGGACAGGAGGGACAGGGGAGTCACAAGGGGTATTTGTCAGCTGCGGTTATTACTAGGAGTCGTGCTCCTTGGGGAGAGGCCTGGCACATCTCTGACGCGGGCCCACACTGTGTCACCTGTCTCCTTGTTTGCCATCTCAGGATACTTCTTTGTATCTCCTTTTGATTCTCTTACTAACTACAGGGGAACTTAATGTAGGAAATGAATCGCAGACACAGCTCTGCTCTGGAGCAAGGAAGGCATTTTGATTGGCTGCCCCAGGGCTCTTCCCCATATTCCATTCAGGACCCCAAAGTACCCAACCATTCGTTTATTCGTCATGACCCATCATTTACTCAGCACCTACTGCTGCAGATCAGGGAACCGAGGCAGAAAGCAGGGTGCCCAGTGCCACACCTGGAGGCAGGGGGTGCAGTGGGGAGAGCTCGGGCTTTGGGTCCATGCAGAACCTGGACCACAGCTCTGTCACACACTAACCCTGTGGCTGGGATGAGTCCTGTCACCACCCTGAGACTCCTCGTCTATCAAATGACCTTCATGCTGATCCGAGCCTTGCTGAGATGTGGTGAGGCATAAATAGCAGGAGAAGCGTGGGCTTGCCTGCACAGCAGCTGGCTCACGAAGGGGTCAGGCGGTGTCTGTGTCCCAATAGGATTGACCCCACATGGCCAAGGGCTGAACCCCATTTCCGTGGTCTACCAGGCCCCCTTAGCTATTAGGCAGGTCCTGGTAGGTCTGGCTGGTCCGGGATCTACACACAGAGCCAGGGGAAACAGAGGAGGGCACATCACCCAACTCCTTTTTTATGTGCTTGGGGAGAATGGGAGCAAGAGGACACCGTTCATTAAGGCCACTCGGTAAGTGATAGCGCTGGGCTAGTTCCACTGACCTATGCGCTGTAGCAGTTACGCCTCATGGGAATCACCTGGTCCTTAGCTTGTAGTCAAATTTGCCTGTACAATCATTTGGGCCTGAAATCTCCTGGTAGATTTTTAACCACATTTTAAATTCCATTCCTTCCTTCCTTTTTTTCTTTCTTTCTTTATTCTCCTTTCCTTCCTTCTTTCTTTCTTTCTTTCTTTCTTTCTTCAACACAATGTTTATAATAAGGTATTTTTGTTTTTGTGTTGTTTTGTGTTTTTTAGAAAACTATTCATTTTGTCTATCTTTTTAAATGCATGGGTCTAAAGTTATGCATGGGGTTTTTATAAATTTTCCTATTAATTTCTATGCAGGAGTTTTTAATGCTGGTATCACTGTTGGAAATCATTTTTGCTTTGATGACATCTACAGAGAGTGGTCTATACTAAAAAAATATTTGGCCACCTGAGTCACAATTCCAACTCAATTTTCTTAAACAAAAATCGTAGGCAAAACCTAAAGAGGGTGGGCTTCTTGTATGTCTAGACAGGGGACTCTTTTATTGATTATATTGATCATGTGCTAATTAACCTGCTAAGCCTTTCTCCATTGTGAAGTCTACACCCTGGATGGGTCAAAGTGATCCTTTTTGCTCAGTGTGGTTGTTCCTCTCAAGTCTGACTCTGGCTCAATCTAACCGTGATGGTGAGAAGGTAGAGGAATCTCCCTGATGCCACAGAAACTATGGATGGGAGAAAAAATTCCTAACGCTCAGCTGGGGTTGGATGTTGGCAAAGCCATCAACAGCCTGGGCTGGTCTGCGGGTAGCCCTCCTGTCTTTTGACAAGACTGGCTGGAAAACCAAAAACAAAGCGAAGAATAATTCCACCATCCCTCAGTGTCCTCTTGCTCCCATTCTCCCCAAGCACATAAAAAAGGAGTTGGGTGATATGCCCTCCTCTGTTTCCGCTGGCTCTGTGTGTAGATCCCGGACCAGCCAGACCTACCAGGACCTGCCTAATAGCTACCCATTGCCCCTTTCTGAAACATCTTAAAATAGAAATGTCTTTTTAACATATTGTGAGCTATGTGTGTCTTGGAAAGTGTGGCTGACAACAGACATCTGTAGAGTAACTAGAGACTTGACTTAACTAGAGCCAATGAAGACTTGGGATTTACTTCTCGAGGTTTGACTTCTCTTGATGAAATGGTCAAGGCCTCATTTGCATTAATTTCTAGAAGAGCTATTACTCTCACCATAACGGCAGTGTGATGGTGTGATGGTACATTTTCTCAGCTCCAGAATGTTCACTGACTGGCATCTGGGTAGGTAACCCACTGGAGCCCATCTGATTTATCTCCTTAAAATCATGCTGCTAGGACTACTTCAGTCTGGATTTTGAAGGCAGCTGCCTGATTCCTACTGAACTCTTTACCGTCCTTGACATTCAGATATGGTCTCCTCAGCAAAGTTGGTTGTGTCATTACCAAAGGGGCAACCGTAACTCAAATGCAAAGCCAACTCTGGGCTCCAAGTCCAGGGCCTCCATGGTCTGGTCTCTGTGCGCCTGCCCAAGCCCCCTTTGGGCCCTAGCCACACTGACCCCCTTGCTGATCTCTATACACACTGTATGGCCACGAATGCATGGGTGTGACCCCCACCGGGAAGGGATGGACACATGTGACGTAGGACTCTGGTCCCAGCATCCAGGTCTCCAAGTAATGCCTCTGCTTCAAACTGGGGGTAGATTTGGGCACCCCTGACTTACCACGATCATGCTGCTGAGGGTCTTGCCGTACATCTTTGTGAACTGACACTTGATAAGATTTAAGTCAATCTCACTCCTCGAAACGATGTTTCTTATCAGGGTCCCATCGCATGTCCCTGCTCCCTGGACAAGACACAGCAATCAACAGTCACTGCTCACCTCTGTGATGATGGACAAATCTGTGCTCTGGGGCCAGGGGGCTTTCAGAGGGGGCCGGAGATGCGGGAATGAGCCTCTGCTTCAGGGGGCGAAGCACTGGGAGGGGTGCTGTAGTGAGTCAGGGTTTCTGTTCCCTTCATCTCTTCTCCCTCATTGCCCACATGTCTGTCTTTATTGGGAGCTAAATGCCCCAAAGTGCCGTGTGTGTTTGGTTTGCCACATCAGATTCTAGACACAGAACACTCGCTGCTCTAGGAGTAAGCCTTCTTCCTAGAGGAGCAACGTCAGGAAATTCAGCTTACCTGGCCAATTCTCAAGCAGGACCTTCTGCCTACTTTCATCTTTGACTAGTCTCCTGTCGGATGCCGCCAATGGCCAAGGGAACCCCATGCCCTCTCTCACTTCCTGGCCAGAGAACTTGGGGTTCTAACCTCCAGTGGTGTCAGCACACAGAAGGTGGGCACTGACTTCAGGCTCAGGGAATCCCTCTGATTCTCTTCCAGTTTCTGGCTTCCAGGTGCCAGAAACTCCACCCAGTACAAATGGCTGGGACGTCTGTTTGAATGCCCAGCGCAGCCTCTTGGACAAAGATAAAGCCAGCTTGGCACCCCTGGCAGGCACATGGAAGTTGAGTGCCACGTGTAGCCATCTCCGTCTGAACGTCCATTCCAAGGGCACCTTGACTTTCTGTGCTCTCTCAAGGAGGTCACGTGGTGGGATCAAAAGGACAGCTGGCCTGCCTTGGGTTCAAATGGAGGCTCAGCCAGTCATCAGCTGGGTGACCTTGACCACAAGCCTTTGCTTCACCATCTCTAGGGTGGGAGTTACGACACGGGTCTCACAGGATTGTTGTAAGAGGTCGGTGCGATGCACACCTGAGAAAAAACCTGCTCCAATCCAGTCCCCAGGAGCTGTGGCTTCCCTTCCCCAGACTCATTTTACCCCTGGGGAGCTCTAGGATTCTGTTCACAAGAGGCTGGAATTAGAGAAGACACAAGGGTCCGAGGCAGTGGTGGCTCCGAGCGCCTGGGCTTGGCAGCTGGTGCTGAGGAGGGCTGAGAACAGGGGGCACCGAACAGAAGAGTTACCTTCAAGGCGTAGTAAAGTCGCTCTGCGAAGTAGCTGTGCAGGTTCCGGGTGCATTTCACTGGCAACAGGAAAGCTCTGTTAACACTAGACGTTGTAGATGGCATCGTATACATGTGTATTTATGTCTTGCCTTGGATCTTAAGCATGAGCATTATGCAGTTCTTGGCCTATTTATTTATGTGTTGCCTAGTTCCAAAATGAGAGGCTTGGCGTTGGGTGGGGTGGGACAGGGAAGGAAGCCTGGGGCACTGGGCACAGGTCCGAAGGCACAGAGTGGGCAGGCAGAGGGTGAGGAGTAAATGCGAGGCTGGCCCCTCTGAGCATGGCTCCTTCTAGCGCAGCCCTGGGCTCTTACACCCCAGAGCCAGCCTTGCCAGGAATCCAGCCACTCAGCTCCACAGAGGAGCCACAGTCATGGTGACCACTGGCCTCGGGGTGTCCACTTTACTCCTCACTTATCAGGAAGGTCCCTGCATTTGAATTTCCACGTGACAATGGGGTCCAGCCCTGGAGCACTAGGGCACCCAGGGACATCTGGCCCAGAGGGTGGGCCCCTGTTTGCTTTCATGGATGCTGCTTCAGAGATTTTGCATCTGGGTCGGGGAGCTTGGCACTTTAGCTCAGGGCAGCAGAAAGAGCGTGGGCTTTGCGTGAAGGAGGCAGGTGTTCGACTCTCCCCTGATAGCATGGTGTGACTTCATTCTTTGACCTTCCTGCTTTGCACTGTCCTTGTCTATGGGGTGAATGGTGGGAGTCTTCAAGGAGAAGTGAATAGGAAGTGCCTGGTACAGGAGGCACTGTGCACCTTTGCTGTTCCCTGCCTGAAGATTTATTCAGGAGGTTGTTCAAACTCAATGCAGGGGCTGATTTGCTGAGATTGGAGCAGGGGGCATGCTGAGCTGCTCCAACATAGACTGGTCTTTATCACAGCAGTCACAGCCTGCTGGGGACGGTCAGATGTCCCAGTCCACTCCGAAAGCCCTGGACATGTTGTGGAGTTCCCCTGGCTGCCCAGCACAGAATGGGGACAGCCTGGTGTGGAGGTGAGTGCCCTAGCCCTAGGGCCCTGACCTTGGCTCCATCATGGGAAGGAGGAGAGGAAAAGTCCCTCTGCCCCTGGGCCTCAGCTCCTCACTGCACAATGACTCTCCTCACTGTGACCTCAGTTCTGCACCCCAAGATGTGGTCTGGAACAGGTCCTCCTAGGTCGACCTGACGTCGTGCTTGAGGGAAGGTTCTCAGTGCTCCCCAGAGTCAGACCATCAATCACTGAGTTTGGATTCCAACTATACATCATTTCTTCAGTGAGCAACTGAGGCAGAGACCAGGCCTCTGGCTAAGGTCAAGACAGGAGACTTTCTTTAGGGCTTTATAATCAGAACCAGAATGTTCCCTGTGTGGCTGCTATGGATGAGCACAGGCCCTGGGTCAGGCATAATCCTGCAAATGTGCACACACACTCACCTACTCACATATTCTCACATGCGCCATGCTCACACTCATGCTCGCATACTCACACAGCACAGGGATTTTGGGGGGCAGGGCACGGCATACTGAAGACACGAGGGTAGGATAGTCCCGGTGTCCTGGGCTGAAGGGTACGTGTGTGTGTGGCCTGGAGGGGGAGGGGTCCCTTGAAGGTGGACGTAGGGACCCAGTCACTTGCTATTGCCACCCCAGGGAACTGCCCCCTTGCTGGGCCCCGTGGCTGTGGACACCTGTGTGTCTGAGCACCAAGCCCCATCTCTTACCCACTGTGAGCATGGCCTCCTCTAGGGAGCCGTGGGTCTCACTCTTGATGCTATCCTCAATGCTCTTGCTGGCGATTTTCTCATATTCCTCAAACACTGTAGAGAGACGTCTTCTCTTAAGGGATATGTAGATCTCAGTGTGATGTCCCCAGTGTCTCAGATCTGAGACTGCACATCAATGTGTACCCCCTGACCTCCACTTGGTTGCCAGGGAAAAGGTCCAAGTCTCCCTGGCTCTCTTCCCAGCATCATGACCAGGCAAGGATGCACACTGGATGGCCCGTGTGAAGGACAGTGCCTCCTCCCTCCCCGGTACCTCTCATCAGATGCGTGGCACTGCGTGTGCACAGGATGGTGATGAATTTCATCTCGTCGGTCCCGTGAATCTTCTCGCCTGCTGCGTACAGATCCTAGCATTGGGGCAGCCGCAAGAAGCCAGTGAAGGAGAACAAGGAGGTGAGGGTCAGCCCCCTTCCACCCACCAGGTCAGCATTCTCCTCTCTTGCTATCCCTGAGAGGTTAAATCCCTTCCGGATACTGGGCCAGGTGCTGCTCTGGGAACTCCCCTGCCTCCCCTGGGACTTTGCTCTGCCTCTGGACATCTCCAAGTACTCTGCCAGCAGACCGAACTATAGTGATCTGAAGAGTCCCATCTGGTCCCCAGGCTCGTGGGCTGTTCCTGCTAGGACAGAGCTTCAGTGGACCCCTCCCAAGTCACTCCCCTTCCTGTTCCTGAGTCTCCCCAACACTTTCACTTTCCTTCTGGAACACCAGAGGGGAAAGGTCTGCAGAAAGCTGATCTGGGTCTCAGCCAAGCCTAGTGTCAAAGAAAACCCGCATGGACAGAGGGGCTGGGTGAGGCTTCCAGGCATCAGCCCCCAGAGGATGGGGCAGGTGGCCCACAGGGCGGAAGCTGTCAAGGGTGTATGTACGTAGCCTCACCTGTGCATCTTGGACGGCCTGTCCTGGGTCCACAAAGCCACTCACATCATCCCTGCTGCCCTAGGAGCAGAAGGGGTGGCTGTGTGAGACAGGCTGTCCCAGCAGAACATCTGGGGCAGCAGGGAGAGCTGGGCAGGAGGGCAGGCAGGGCTCGACGGCTTTTTGGCCATGGGGACGTTAGCAGGCTAATTACCCTCTCCAGGGCCCGATTCTGTCATCTATCAAATGAGAGTAGTAAGGGTGGCCTCGTAGGAAGCTGGGGGATTCAGTGAGCTAAGGTAAGCGGAGTGCCAGGCATGGGGTGTGGTGTGTAGGACCTGCTAAGTGACAGGGCACTCTCCTCCCGATTCTGGGGGGCCCCCATGTGGCGGTGTCAGGGACGCGCGGGTGTGAGAATCCTCCAGCCATGCTGATAGGTATCCAAGAAGCCCAGGCCACTGGGGCTCTACCCAGGCCCTGACCCCTCTCCACCCCAGCAGCTCTCCCCAAGAACTGCTCCCTGGAGCCCAGCTGTTCAGGTCCCTCAGGCAAGGGGCTCCCAGGAGCCTGGGCTCTGCTACCTGCAGGAGGCACACCAGGATCCTCTCCAGATAGCCGCTGGTGTCTGCTTGGATGTCTTCTTCCAGGCTGGACCCATAGTCTGCAGGGGAAACAGGACCATGAGGCACAGATCCACTTTCCTCCTCCCAGCCCTGTTTCCCACACTGCTCCCAGTTAAAGGCGTCTGGTAAGGACTAGTCAGTGGAGTGGGCACACTGCCCAGGTGTCTGAATGGCAGAGGCCCCACCACCTGGCGGTCATTCAGAATGAGGAAGCAACACAGACTGCCAACCTGGCTCCAAGTGCAGGGATAGGTCAGGCCAGAGAGCCCCGCCGGGGGCTGCCTACTGAGCTCTGCTTCATCTGTGGTTTGGCAAAGCCAGAACCTTCAGGCAGATTGTCTGCCAGGCAGACCACATGGTGGCCAGGCTGGCCTCTGCTTGCCTTGCATCCCGTAGGCTCCATGATAGCTGGCCTGTGGTCCACAGCCCCCACTGCAACAGGGCCCTGCACGGTCCCCAGGGTCAGTGTGTGCCTGGCCAGGAAGGAGCCAGACCCATCCAGTACTGACACAGCCCGGGACCCAGAGTGCTGCCAGGCCCTCGAGGGGCAGAGAGTTTAAGGATACATGTCGCTTTCCCCAGCAGCCCGTGGGCTTCAGGGAGCTTAGAGACCATCAGGCACAGGACTGGGCACACAGTAGGTGCTCAGCACCCATATGTAGAAAGGCCCAGAAAGGGTCTTTTTTAGTGAGGCCCAGTGCACTGCTTGCCCCTCATCCCCTACCAGTCTGCCAAAGCCTGTGGCCATTCCCAAGTGAGCCTTTATGTCTAGGCCCTGCGCCCCCCTTACCCTCCTCATATGCCTTCATTATCTCCTGCAGCTGGATCTTGGTCCGAGAAGCCAGGATTTCAATGAGGACACCCTCTTCGGTCCCCAAGCCCTATAGACAAAAACCTCTGTCTGCTGGAGAGCTCTGCCTGGGCTCTTCTGTCAAGAGGCGAGAGGAAGAGCCTCCGGAAGACCCGGTCAGTACCCGCCCCCTCCGATGGGGGCCTCTGCTGGGGGGTGTTACTGGGGGAAATCGCCCGTGTTTGTCTCCAGGGGCTGATCCTGTGGGCAGGTGAGGCCATGGCAGAGTTCTGTCTCAACTTTGCCCTCTGTGCTGGGTGGTCTCAAGCACGTCACTCCACCTTGCTGAGCCTAGGGGCCCTCGTCAGTCCTTGGGGCCAGCCCACCCCAAAGGTGGATTAGAGGGAACAGATGGGAAATGCCGGGCATGCACACCCAGTGAGTGTCCTTTCAATGGAGATAATTAGAGTTGCTGGACCCTGACTCCCTCCTCATTCTCTGCGAGTGCTCAAGAAGCGGTGGGGGTCATAGGAGATCCGAGGGACTGGACAGAGACTGCAGATGTCGTTCTGTCGTTCCTGCACACCTGGTCTGGCGCTGTCCTGAGAAGTGCTGATTCTGGCTTCCTCGTGGCCGAATGAGGGCTGAAGGCGGCCCGCCTGGTCAGCACGTTGCAGGGTCCCCGGGCTGGGCCTTCCAGAGGGTGGCTCAAGGGGAGCTCAGAGGTCCCAGTGCCAGGCTCTCTTGAGGAAGGCATCCCCAGCAGTGACCCCACCCAATCCTCCCCTACCCCACCTGCTTAGTTACCTTCATGGCATCGTGCAGCTCCTTGGCTTCATATCTATATGGTGGGTACATGAGGGCCATGATGAGCCTCTCGAACTTGCCACTCAGCTCCGACTGCAAGGTCTCAGTGAGATCCTAATGCAAGAAGAAGGAAAGGCAATGATCTGGACGTTGTGCTCCCCTGAGTGCAGGCAGCTGGGAGGCAACCGGTCCTGGAGACTCAGGCGGGACTCCTGTGGGCTCTACCATGAGCTGATGCTGGGGTTTCTCGGGCCAGCAACGTAGCCTCTCTGAGCATCATTACCCTTACCTATGAAATGGAGACAGCGATACTCCTGCATTATACCATTTCTTAGGGGACTGGTGCAGAGATGTGTGTGGCTCGACTCCACTCTCACGGCGGTGCTGGGCACAGTATGAGCCCGGAATACATGTTTGTCGTTGCTCACCATCAAATCCTGTCATAGCCCGTGGGCACTCAATAAATGCAGGAATGAATTAAGGGACCTATCTCATGCGTGCCTCCTTCTAAGGGCCCTGGTCTCCACAAGAAGCCACAAGGCCACACCCTGCTGATCTGCACAGCACAGCAAAGGACCAAGGGCCTTGTCAGACCTGGATTTAAATCCCAACCTTGTTGCTTACAGGCTCTGGGATCTTGGGCACTTACTCTTAGAGCTTACTCTTAGAACATCAATTTCCCCTAATGCTGAATGTAAAGAATAATGCACAGGTGTGAAGATTGAGAGAAAGAAATTAAAAAAAAGAAAAGAAAAGAAAAGAAAAGTGCACATTGGCGCCCCCTGGAATGTTTGGGCTTCCTCATTCACCCTCCTGCGTTAAATCTCCAAACTAAAGACACGCGGTGACAGAGGCTTCTGGCAGCCACGGCTATGTGTGCCTTTGTTCCTGCGTTTAAGTTGTACCCCCAATGCCTGGCTCTATCCCGGGGTGGTGGAGGGAGGGAAGAGAGAAAAGGGTCCAGCGTGTGTGCTCCATGCCTCTGGAGCTCCCTTGAGGCAGAGGGAGCAGGCCCAGACACAGAAGCTCTGCCATGAAGAGAGCGTTCCACGCCACAGGATGGAACAGAGCCTGGCTGGCACCTCTGCCCGTGGGGGAAAAGAGCATCCCAGGCTCTGGGAACAGGGTGAGCAAAGCGCAGAGGCAGGGACGCAGCTCGAGGATGGGGCCATGGAGCCAAGGTAAAGGAGCTTGGTGAGAGAGACAGGGGCGGAGAGGTGGAGTGGACCGCAGAAGGCCTGCCGCTAAGCCAGGGCTGTGGGGAGCCCTAAGTAACGTAACCAGATAAAACACAGGATGGCTTGAGAAATTTTAACTTCAGATAAGCAATTAAGAATATTTTTAGTATCAGTATGCCCTATATGCCCCACGCTTTTAGAAGTTGGCCTCTAGACAAGGGCCTTGTCCAGAACGAAGCTGCCTCCCGGGCTGTCTCTGGCCGCAGCAGTGCCCCTAGCCCCCCAAGGAAAGCCTCCTGTCCCCCTTTTACCTTGCCAAATTGCGCCTTGAAGGACTTGGCGATTTGCTGCCGCTGGGCGTTGCTTCTCTTCGTGAGCACATCGATGATGGCCTGCTCGTTGGTCCCTACAGGGGTGCACAGTGTGAGCACTCCCACTGTCCCCTAAGGGGCCTGAGGAGGAGGGAGGGCAGCTGCTTGGTGGCCAGGCAGTGAGGTGCTGCCCAAGGCCAGTCTCAGAAGGGGAGAATCTGAGGACCCTCTGATCATCTGATCTGCTCCGGACATCCCCCGGGGCCTTTGGTCCTCTCTCGTGCTGGTGGCAGTGGGGGCTGATCAGGACCGAGGGCCCAGAAAACTGGATCTGAGTCCTGGCCCAGCAGCCTCATCGCCCAGAGCATCTGCTCTCTCCTTTGGGAAGTGGAGGTAACAGCAGTGATCTCACAGGAAGTAGAGGTCATGAACATGCTGCCAAGGTTCATCTAGAAAGGATGGCAAGCCCTGGCTGGCCTCAGGAATGTGCCTCCTGGAGACCGGAAGGAGGCTGCCTGTGCCCAGCCCAAGCAGAGCCGGGAAGCCCAGTTCAGCCCCGCAGAACTCCCAAACTCATCCCATCCAGAATTCACAGTGACACACAGGTCCAGAGTTCCCGAGGCCATTCTGTGAGCACGGAAGCTCGGACAAGTGGGGTAAAGTTGCCTACGTAAGGGTGCACGGGCACGCACAGCTGATGGCGTCCCCTTCTCACCCCTATGACTCAGGGAGGCACAGCCACCCTCCCTCTTCTCCAGCCGTCGGGGGGGAGGTGTAGACCAGTACTGGGGTGGGGGCTCCCGCGTGGGCTAGGAGTCCGTCTCGGGAGCATGGTGTCCCCTGGCTGCTCCCCTCCAGAGCTGTGAGGCTCGCGGTCTTGAGCAGAGCGGACAGACCCCAGAGAGGCCCAGTGCTCCGGGGGAAGGTCTGCAGACATCCACTTACCGATCCCCTTCATGGCTTTGTAGAGGGTCTCTGCGTCGGGGTCCGGATTAAAGTGGGGGCTGCCCTTCACCGTAACCCCCTCCTGTTCTATCTGCAAAAGAACGCAGGCTTGTTCAAAGTGGGAATGCTGGGGGTGGGGGCACAGGGGGCAGACCAGATCACCAGCCCATCGTGCGGCCTGTCCTGCAGAGTGAGCACCAGCTCAGTCCCTGCAGGCCAGCGGCTGAGGCTCGTGTCCCTCCTGCCCCTGCTTGGCATGGCTCTCCCTGACCGCCCACCTTGGATGAAGCGAGGCCCGAGGGGGTCTGCAGCTTCTGGATGTGACAGTTACCAACAGATATGTGTTGAGGAAGGGGCACCTTGGTCCACTTGGCACCAAGTTGCCATATGGCTCTCTCACATCGGGGCTGTGGAAGCCTGGGGGTGGGGGTGGAGGCCCCATGTGCCCATTAGCTGCCTCGGCTAAGGGGAGGCCTGTCCTGTCAGCTCGGCCCTCAAGGAGGAAGGAGGTGCCTCTTGAGGAGGGTGAGGCAGGGCCAAGCTGGTGAGCATCCAGGGCCATCCTGGGAGAGGAATCTCAGCCTTCAGCACCAGCGCCAGTCCTGCGGAGTTGGGGTTTGCCGACTCTGGAAAGTGGCTGACACTGTGGCCACTTTCAGAGCCACCACCCAGCCTTTGGCGTCAGGAGGAGGGAAGAAGCGGGAGGAAGTCCTAGGAGGGGGAGCTGGCCCGAGAGAGGACCTGCAGTGGTTTTATTGGGGTGACAGGCACAATAATGAGCACGGCTGTGCTCTCCTGGCCACCTGGCGGTCTTCAGAAGGGGCCTGCAGTTTTCCCTGCCTCAGCTTTCTTGCCAGACCTGTTCTTGGATCTTTTGTGATGAGACTTCGGAGGCTGGGGGGAGGTTTACCTGGAGTAACGGGAGCTTAGGAGGAGGAGCGGTGGGGGCACCGCAGGGTGTGAGTACAGGGGGTACAAAGGAACATGAAGGGCAGTATGTCCTATAGGAGGTAGCTTTCTTGGGGTTTGGCAGGCTGCATCAAATCTCCTGGGGGGTCTGTGGCTCAGGCTAGCCATTCAGAGGAGTCAGCTGTGTAGGGAAGCTACCATTAAGTGAGGGTACCCTGAGAGACCATAGCCTGCCTGGCCTGGCTGTGAGGGGTTGCTGGTTCCCCTCTGGGCTCTGTGGGACTACTATGTCACCTCCACAGAATGGCTCTTTGATTCATAGGCTGGCACCAGCCAGAACCACAGAAGCCACAAAACCTCTCCTGCCCCTGCCCCCGCCCTGGGGTGTGGGCTCTGGATCAGGCCAAGCCTCTCCCAGCTAGTGTCATCTGAGGGCAAGCAGCAGGCCCTGCCCACCCCCACCCCCCGAGCTCCCTCCAACACCATCGACAGGTAGTGCCGTCAGTGGGAAAGGACCACCTACCCCCAAAGCACAAGGACAATAAGCGAGTAAGGACAGGCTTCATGGAGCTGAGTGTGCTGCTTTGAGAGTGTGCAGACAAGTTTGGGAAGAGAGGCATGGTTTGAGCTCAAGCTGCCTTCTTTCTGAGAAGTCACAAGAATGTAGAGACCCAGGGCACCCGGCTGAGCATCCTGATAGCCTAGGGGCTTTGCAAGTCCACAGGCTCATGGAGGACAGAAGGTTAGGTTTAGAAAGAACTGCTTGATGCTCTGAAAATTGTGGAATAAACACGATAACCAAAATACTTGGGCCCTTGACCTGAGCCAAGTCTCTCTAATCCAGGGTTTGTCTGAGGGCTCTTTAGACTTGTTCCTTGTAGAATTTCTCAGATGAAAACAGATGATCTTTCTTAAGTATGTGTTTTTGGGAGAGGGATAGTAGAGGAGTGGAGGGGGACTGAAGATAGGCATTGAATTTGAAGAAGACTCAAGAGATTCCTCAATGGAAAGGAGTTTAGTCCCATCGTGTTTGGTGTCCCATGCACCTATTCACCTACTTCTTCTGTCTGCCCTAATCCACTCATCTGCTTTCCCACCTACCTACCCACCAACCCACTCATTCACTCATCTATTCATCCATTCTCCACCCAGACACTCAGTGGCCACATCCACTCTTCCATCTATCCATCCATTTATTCATTCATTTTATCACCATGTCCCTCCTTCTATCCATCCGTACATCCATCTAACTACCCTTCCATCCGTCCATTTAATCACTATATCTATCTATCCATCCATCCACGCATCCTTCAAGCGCCGATTAGATCCTGAAAATACATGGCCGATTACCATCTGTGGGGCTATCTATAGATAGGGATATTGCTTTTGAGTAAGAGGTGAAAAGTTTTTCTATTTCCTTTGCTTGAATTTCAAACGAAATTTTCTTATTTCATTTTTTAGCACCTTGTTTCTCAGCAAGAAGTGTTAGAAATAATTCTTTGTGCAAATTCCCTCCAGAAGAGCCTGTGTGGTCCCAGAGGTGGCCCAGTTGCGTGCACGCATACACAGTGTCCCTTGTTTGGGGAGTCTGAGCTGCTCTTACTACCCTTAGCCATTTGAGTAGCTCCTTTGTGCAAGGCCTCTGTGTTAGAGGCTTCAGGGGCCAGAAGTGTAATGCTCACACTCCTTGACTTCTCCAAACCATGAATGCCTCATTTTACAGGCAAGGGAGCTGGGCTCAGAAGGCTTGTCAAGGCGACATGGCTAGTAAGTTGGGGGCGCTAGCTCTTGACCCACAGCCTGACTCAGAAGCTGAGCTCTCTCTACTTCCCCCCACTCTGTTGATGACTCAACCTTTTCGGGACAGTGAACTTTCCTGGAACTCTGCACTGAAGGAAGCCTTGCCCACAGGAAAGCAGGTGGTCCGGCAGTGTGAGCTCTGGGGACCACCCGCGAGGGGCTCTCTCGCTGCCCCCCCAAGCCGCCACGAGGCGCTGTGCAGCAGGGACCGGCCAGACCACAGGACTGAGTCACTAGGAGCAGCCCGTTCAGCAGGTCCGGGGTCGGCTCCGTGGGGAATGGTTGTCAACTCGCTCCCTGAGGGGTTGTGATTTTGAGGCGCTGAGGAGCCTCAGCCTCTCTTCCCACTCCATGGTTTTAGGGGATAGAAAGCACAATTATCTGGAATCAGACCCCTGAATATCAGCAGGGAGGGGTAGGGCTCCAGATCTTCCTATCTGAAAGGCCCCACTGTTAGGGAATCTACCCGGGCCCCGTGCCCGGAGCGGGCTTGTCCAGACGGGAACATTTGCACTGAGAAGGTGACTCAGTCTTGCCTGTGACTCTGTCGGTAAGAGCTCTGTTCTGGGGAGACCACACCTTTGCCTTCCCCCGTCACGAGGCTGCCCTGGGGAACCCGGGAGACAGACCTTCATTTCTGTAAGAGAGGCGCAGACGGGGCCCCTCTAGCTGATCTTTCACACCCTCGCACCACCCCTCCCCACCCCCCCGCCACCAGTCCTGGTCCTGGTCCAACTGGAGGCCCAGAGGACATCTGGTCCTGAGCCAGTCACAGGCGGGCCCTGCCTGTGATCTTACTGCCCCAAGCCTGCTCTCCCGTGGGCTGTGGCCCACAGTTCGGGCTCTGGAATTGGGCTGCTCAGATTCTAACCCAGACCCTACCACTTGCTAGTGTGGCAACCTTGGGCATCTGCTGAGCCTCCTTGTGCCTCCTTAGCACAAGATGGCCTCCGACTCAAACCCAGATGAAACACTCCCAAGAATCTGTTCATTCAGCGGGGAGGTGGGAGACTGGGGGACAGGCTGTGCTGTCTTCCCCATCTCAGTCCTCCATCACTCTATAAAGCATAGATTTCAGACACTTGAGGCCCCTGTAGGCCAGGTCCTCTTGCCCTCTCTCCTCAATCTTGACAAATAAACACCATGGATTCCTGGAGGACTGCCTGCCCTCCCGTGCCCTAAGGTGTGGGCATTGATGAAGCCTCCAACATCAGCCGATTTGATCATGTTGCTCACCAGCTCAAAGACCTTCAATGGCTCCCCATTGCTCTTGAGGTAAAACCCAAGCCCCTTAGCCTGCCATGCGAGGCTTTTTAGGACCTGCCCTGCCTGCTTCTCTAGGTCTATCTCCCCCCATTCCTCTGCCCTTCCACCCATGGCCCTAAAGCCATGAGGAACTACTCTCCGAAGCCAAGCTTCCCACCCTTCTGGGCCTTTGCACATACTGTTCCCTCTGCAAGGAATTATCTGCCTGATTCTCGTCAAACACATGCATGTGCACACATACCACACACATGCACATCTCGCTCAAACGTGATACCCTCTAGCTTCGAGCAGCCTAACGCCTCCCTGCAGTGGCTCTTCCTCTGGGCTCCCCCAGCCCCTCAGCTTCCCTCAGTGCATTTCAAGGTTCCTTTATCTGGGGGTGCCTGGGTGGCTCAGTTGGTTAAGTGTCTGTGTGTGGCTCAGGTCATGATCTCCAGGTCCTGGGATGGAGCCCCATGTCGGGCTCCCTGCACAGCAGGGGAGTCTGCTTCTCCCTCTCCCTCTGCCCCTCCCCCTGCTTGTGCTCTCTCTGTCTCTCTTTCTCTCAAATGAATAAATAAAAAAATCTTAAAAAGAAAAAAAAGTTTCCTTTATCTGTCTGTCCTAGCCGTGAGCATCTCTAGGGCTGGGGCGGTTTCTTCTCTCTTGCCTCCTCAGTGGGCAGCCTGGTGCTTGGCCGGCCGACAGCGTGACTGTTGATTGAGCAACACCTCTCTCCACCAACACCCTGCAGGAACCCTACCCTCTGCCACTGCTTGCTCCCCACTTACCCAGGCTTTCCACCAGGCCATTTTGTTCTCCTCCTGATCGCCTTTCCCCGGGGAGATGAAGATCTACTGGTCAGCCTTCCCTCTACTCTGAGATTCCACAGGACTGGCTCCCACACGAGCAGGCCAGGTCCTTGGGGTTGGATGTTGGGTGTGGTGGCAAAAGCGGGGGCCCCAAGCCCCACCCAGCGCCGCCTCTGGCCCCACCCCTTCCCCTCTGGGTTCCGCCTGGCTCTGGGTCCCTCCTGGGGCTCCCTGGCCGCGCCCAGGCACTGCCCGGAGCCTGCTTGTGGAATTCCGCCACTCACTGCCAAACATCTGGGCTGTCGCTGTTATGTAGACTGGAAATTCTGAGTCCCAAACTTTGACGGCCTCACTTAGTAAATGCGGCTGGAGTTTCAGACCATCTTTGCTGGACCTGATCTATAGAAAAAAAAGGAAGGACAGCAAGTTTCCCTTTCTTTTATTGTGCAGGTTCTACACCACTAACCATGCAGTGGGGAGCTCGGCAAAGGACATAAGTACGAGCAGCTTCCCTTTATTGGGGTGTCTCCTAAGTCTGGAAGCTTCTTTAATCACTGTGTGCCTTCTGTCCCCTTTATTCTTTGCCTCAACTCTAAGAAGCAAGTGTGAGTTCCGTGGACTGCAGGAAGAAACAGGCTCCAGCGCTCAGATACTTTGCACAAGCCCCATTGCTCGTGAGAAACAGAGTTGTCACCCACCAGCTCTCTCTGACCTGCTGTGGGCCTGCTCTGTGCGGGGTCCCGCAGGACGCCACGGCTGCCAGCCGAGGGAGGGAGCCAGCTCCCCAGGGAAGAGGTTAATTTTTTCCTGTCTGCAGTTTGCCCTCCCTGGGTCCCCTGACTAGAATATTCTGCAGCACACTCTCTCTAGCCAACTCTTAACCCGCCCTTCAGGGTAAACGCCAGTGCCTCAGGGACCGCCCGAGGCCCCTCCATCCTGGGGAGGCGCCCCCAGGGCTTCAGGGACGCCCTGGCCTCTGAGTGAAAACCAGCCGCATGGTGCTGTGAGGGTTTTATATTCAGGGAGACCTTCCAGAGTAACAGATACGAGTTGTCCCTTGATGCAAAATCCTCTGGTTTCCTGACCCTGATCCAATACTCTTTGCTCTACACACACAGTGTTTCCAGGCTGTTCTTTCTGGAAGTGTGGGCTGGGGTGGGTGGGGACAGCTGGGCTGGCCTGCATAGGCTGGGGTTGAGGCGGGGAGGACAGCCACCACCCAGAGTGGCCAGAGGCCTAGGGATCGCTACTATACAGCATCGTGGGATGCCGTCAGAGGAGGAAGATTTCGGCCTGCCTCTGGTCACGCGGACTGAGCGAGGGCCTACTCCTGCCTTTGGGGGCCCAGACTCCCCATCTTCCTTGGCAGTCCTTGGGTCAGAAGCAAGGTGCCCTCATTGGTGGGGCTTCTTGGGACTTCAGCTGCCCATGCCCATGTGCGTGGTGGGGAGGTGCTCGCACCATGGCATGAGTGTGTCTGGGAAGTAGGTACCCTCCAGGAGGCTGTAGTCAAAGTCTAGTTATGAGGATGACCTTAGATAGGACTAGCCTGGTGGGCCCTGAGCAGAGCCCGGAGAGCCATGCCGGGCCCTGAGACCAGGACAGGCCACAGAGATTGGTGCAGAAGAGACCTGGCCCTCTGAGGGTCTACGGTGCACAGTGACCCAGGAGGTCACTGGAGGAGACCAGGCCCCAACAGTGCTTGTGCTCTCTTCTCAGGCTCTGTTCTGACCTCCCCAGCAGCCAGGACCTCACCTTCTTTCCCAAGCTCATCTCTTGCTTCCCTTCTGGGATATCCCACACCCTTTGCCATCCATTTTAGTCTCATTATTACCACCCTAACTGGCCCCCAGGACTCCTTCTTAGGCCCTCTGTTCTTCCCTCTCCTTGTTAGTGGTTCTGAACCTTGGCTGCCCTTTGGAATCACTTGGGCGCCTCCCACCCCAGAGACGAAAGCCCAAGACCCCCACCTGCCCCTGCAGGGTCCCTGGGGTCCGCAGCCCCATCCCTGGATCATCCACTGGGTCCCCCATACCATGGGCCCCTGTCCTCATGCCAATTCTGGAGCCTCTCACCTGCCCACTTGTACCCACATTTTGCCCTTGTGCCTATTTCCCCCTCCTGAATGGCCTTTCCTCACTCCTGGGTAGATGTGGGCAGCTCGCTGGCCCTGGATGTGGGCTTCCATCCCATCTGCAGTGACCCCTATCTCTGGATCACCTGGCCAGAGATGGCCCGTGGTGTCACTGAGTCCGGCAGGAAGAGGGTGTCTGAAACCACACTGCTCCCTGAGCCCTGATGAGTGAGCCCTGGCCTGGGGGTCAGATGGAACAGACAGCTAGGCACCCCCTGGGGTGCCTATCTGAATACTCTGTGCGGGCTCCTCATGGGGGAAATCATGGTAGCCTGTCCTTTCCCACAGCCCGGGCAGACGGTGTGAAGACCACACCCAGCCACAAGGCTGGCAGAAGCTGGCCCAGTACCTGGGGGTGCTGCGTACCTAGCCAGGCTGAGCTAGACTTCTCTTGAGCAATGTTATGATCTTCCTGTGGGCTGTCAAGATCCCCAGCTGCATATTTCACTCATGGCACAAAGGGTGACGGGAGCTGCTGTGTTCCCACTCAGCTGAGAGAGGGTGTGGGAGGGTACCGCGTGGGTGTGGGCGCCGTGGGAGCCATGGGGCTGGTATGAAGGCAACACACGCAGAGGGTGGCCTTCTCTGGAAAGGTGTGTGGGCCAAGGAAGGGGTTTTTAAGGAAGGAGGGCATGAAACGTGTTTAAAGGCTCTTGGGGTGTAGAGAAGGAGTGAAAATGCAGGAGAGAGAACAGAACAGGGACACCAGTTCCATAAGAAGCAGGTGGGGAATGGGAGCCAGGGCATAAGCAGAGACTCTGACATTAGTTAGGAAGGAAAACCCAAACCCTCTGTGGTGACATTTAAGGGAAATGGGCTGGGAATGGGGGCATGTCAGAAAAGAGAGGGCATTCTTTCCATGTGCTCTGAGGTTGTTTTTGTCTGGGGGCGATTGCAGGTGCTGAGTGTGGGGTGAAGCAGTGAGGTCAGAGGTAGGCAGAGGTTTGAAATCGTCATTGGGATAAAAATTAACCTATGGCTGGTATCCATCTTGAGTATTGATCGTGGACTTGGAGTCACCCTGATGAGTCAGGCCTGAGTGAGGACACCCCTGGTCCAGGAACACGGAGCTTGTTTTAACCAGTTGTGTACAGACCCAGGAACTCATTCTGTCCCATCCAGAGCGCTAGTTCTCCATCCTGGATCAGCCCCACCAGTCCTTCCAGAACCTTCTACAGAGTCTGCTGAATCTCCCTCTTAGCAGACCACTCAGTGGGTTTCTCTCCTGGTGTCTGCTCTCTGGCCTGGTGAGTCAGCAAATGTGGTTTTGTTCCTTTGTGTGTTTGAGCTCCAGTGCCTTTGTTTTATCCTTTGGCCACTGGGGATAAAAGAATGAGCTGCCATGGCCGTAGCTTCTCATTCTTTCCTCGTTTATTAATTTCCCTCTTCTGGTTTCCGTCTCAGTCAACAGGGACGGCATCTGCAGATCTATCTCTTGATTTAGTCCATTTTTTTCTCTTCAATTATGTCGAGTCATATTAGATTTCTAATTTAGTGCCATTTTAAAACTTTGATCGTCTTTAAACTCTACCATTTTCATAATTAGTTGTTCTTGTCTTATAGTTTTTATTTCTTTATTTTGTTTGAACGTTTCACCCACTCTTATTTTAATTTCCCTTTTAGGTTGCTCTATTATCTCTGCTTTCAGGGCCCTGAATTTGTTTCTTTTATCTGCTGGCTCTCCTTGGCTAGATACCTAGGATTTTTTTCCCCCCTTGAGCTCCTCTTTAGCAGGAAATGTTTCCCATGAGACCCCCCAGTACTCTGGTTGGGGGAGGCATCCCAGAGGGACAAGGTCATATTTGGTTTTGCTGGAAGCTGGAGATTCTGTTAGGTCCAGATGGACTTTAACGCTAGCTTCTCAGCTCAGGTTTCCCACACCACGCACACCGCACTGCTGACTTGGGACCCTCATCTCCCACTGGAGCTTGGGGCACGTGGCCCTCCTCTGTGCCCTGGCTTGGGTTTGGGCTGAAGATTTTCATCCTGTTTTATGGGGAGCATTGCCCTCAGCAGCTCTGACATAAAAGGGAGCAGATCCAGCTCTCCGTGTGCCTGGGAGCTGAGACTTCACCTCTCAACTCATCGGGTCAGAGGGCCTTGACTCTTTAGCCATAAGTCTTGTGCTCAAGTGTTCAATGCCTAAGAACCACTCACTGTTGTGAATTGACTGAACTTCAGATTTCTTCTTCTTCTTCCTCCTCCTCTTCTTCTTACATTTCTGGCAGTTAGAAAATGGCTTTTCTTATTTTTTAGCTGGAATTTGTGAAGCACTGAGGCTTCAGTGGAGACGGGTGGGCATTAACTTCTGAGGGCACCAGCCTGGCAGGGCTGTGTTTTCCCCCAGTGGCATTCAGTAGCCCAGGACAGGCACAAGAAAGGTAAACAATTGGTTTCATCCAGTTGACTCAGAGGTTTTACCCTGAGTGTGTGACACAAAGAAATGGGGCCAAGGAAGAGCAGCATATTGGAGTGAGATTGACCTAGGCGCTGGGCCCTGGGGCCTGTGCTGGAAAGAAAATGGGAATGACTATGGGTGGGAGGTCCTGATGGGGTTAAAAAACAATGGGGTGGGAGTATTAAGTCAATAAACTGGATGTGTACATGGTGTTGGTGAGAGGCAGGTGTCTTAATCGTGCGGTCAGTGGATTACAAGGCTCAGGGTGTGGTCAGGGGTGGGCAGGTGGCTTGCAGTGCAGGGAGGTGGAGGCTGAGAGGTCAAGGATAAGAGGTCATGACATTGGAAGGGACATCCCATGGTGGTCAAGGTTTGCTGGGATGACAGCAGGCATTGGGCTGCATGGCTGTGTCAGCTGAGTATGAGGTCTACAGCCAAAGGGAAAGAGAGGGATGGTTGGGGGAAGAGGGCGGAGAGTGGCACAGCAGAGTGGCAGGGTTCTTCCCTGAGTCCTTGACAGTGAGCGGGGTCCATGCACTGGGGCCCACTGGGCTCTGGCACAGGGACTGGAGCGGGCCACTGGCACAGA